TTTTTTTTTTTTTGAAAAATAATAATATATTAATTAAACACCTGAATTTTGAAATTTAAACATTCTCCCCTTATTTTTGAAATGTTAACTTAAAAACTAGGGTTTAAGGTAATTTTTCCATTTTTTAATGGGAGATTTTCTGAGGCTTAGTCCATGAGAGCTCCGGTTTGGGAAATTTTGGCCCGTTTTGTTGCCCATTGTGAATCTTGTGTGAATGATATATATAGAAAACACAATTTTGATGATTATAGTTCTTTGTTATACATAGAGAGAGAAAAACTGTACGGCCGCACTTTGTATTCTTTCCCTGATAATAGTGAAATTCTTGCAACTCCTTGAACGTAGGCAAAATGGCCGAACCACATAAATATTGTCTTATGCGTGTGATTTTTTTCTTTGGCTTGTGTTTTCTCTATTCAGTGTTTCTCACAGGTTGGGAATTTCGGATTAATTCCCTTCACCTAGTACCCAACACCATGCTGCTAGGTGAAAATTACACAAGTAGAACTGTTATACAATTTTGTGAGTTTCATATGATCATCGCATATGAATATTAGTATATGCTGAATATGCTTTGTTATTCTTTAATCGTGTTCGTAGTACTCCTCTAAGAGAAGAAAAGTTTCACCTGTATTCATATATCTCTCCTGTGCCTTTATCGAAAGCTTTCAATCCACTTCTCTTCTAGTTTTTTTCAACTATTTGGTATTTTTCATATGCTATTTTTTTCAAAATGACTTACATATAGATATAAAAATCACTTAATAAACTTGACTGCAATTAATTTTTATTAGGTCTACTTCTAATATCAATTGAAAACCAGACAACAAAATATAGACAAAAGTATTAATAGTTGAGACATTAATATTTTTATGACATTTTAATTTGTTATTATAATAAGTAAATGAGAAAATAAGGAAATTTTGAATAAAAAATTCATCAAATTCAAAAAAAATAATAATAATAAAGAAATAAGTCTATCCCACCTTGTTAAACAATACTCCCCCAACCCCCACATCATTCCTTGAATAAAAAGGGTTGATCACTATTAAGATAGATACACCATTCGGGCCTTAAAGCTTGGGCTTAGTAAAGTAGTTAGTTTTCAAATTTTTGATAGGAAATACCAATGTTAAAATCGCTAAAACCAGTTGCGGGTCGACTGGTTTTACAGTTGGACTGGCTAGTTGGCCGATTTTTATCTGATTTTTAAATATTCGATTTTTAGATATCAATCGAACCGATTTTTGTAACAGTTCATGATTTTCCCAGTCGGACCGGCCAGAGAACAGTGGGAAAATACAACAAAAAGGACATTCGAATAAAATTTGGTACATAGCACTACAGTGTTTATTAAACAGTTTAATGAACAAGATTTTAGCTTATATTTCTACCATATAGTATCAAGTGCAGCCCTATCCTCCTTAACGAACAGGTCATTAATGAAAGGAATTACGAGAGGTGGAAAAACTAGTACTTGCAGAGTCTAGTAACATATTCTAGGCATCCTATTATCCAGCACAGAAACCTGGTACTGAAGTGTTGAGTTGTGTGGAGTCTGACTATACTGGACACCCAGCCACAACTGGCGGGTCGAGCTCCGCTGTGAGCTCGCGGGGGGTTGCAGGGGGCAGCGCCCCCTTGCCCGTAAGGTGGGGGTTCGGGGGCTCTACCCCCGAGGCGAAAATTCACACAAGGGTATTTTGGGTATTTTCCTTGTATTAGGGTTTTTCTTCTTCTGACTATATATATGTTATTTTATGACATATGGCTTGTAAGCGAAAT